CAACCGTGTATATGTATCATGGATACGCATACAGTGCAGACGAGCTATATACTTTTTACCAGCTCAATTTTTGTAACGCGAGGTAATGAAGTTTATACCTGCACAGGTAAACAATGGACTATGTCGGTGAAAGGCGTCCTGGCATGTTCATACGTGTACAGCACTTGTGGAGTACATGCACCAACAGACCAGAATTGAGTTTAGATTATTCATCTCCATCAAGAAAACCAGATGAGAGCCAGAGGTCGTAACAGAACCGGGGATGATAATAGACTCGGTGTGCAAGACGTTAGAAGAAAAAGGTAGTTATATTCTGCGCCATAGGTACACGTACATGTACGACCAGTAGACTTACTTGGTTGCGCCGCATGTACAAAGGAATTGTACAGTTGTCAACGTTAAAGCACACGAGACGAGTAGATCCATCGCCTATCATTATTATAAAACAATTTAACGGCATCTTTAGAAAATTAATGGGATGTAAACTCAGCAATAAACAGAATAAACGTGGATGCTTAGATATGACACATCTGATTTTATGTAGGTATGGAATATCTTTACATGTAGTGAACCCAAAAAGATTCGGACTACCTGTCATTGTCATTAGAATTTAACTGCTTATTTAACCGGTTTTTAACTTGATTCTATCCCTTGGTCGCAAAACCTAACTGAAATCTTTTACTCAACCCTCAAGCCACCATGTTCGCACTAAGTCATGTATTACGTATTTTTGCCAGTCGGTGTCTCTCTCTCTTCTCTTAAAGTTTTACTCTATTCTCGATTTCATTAAAAGCGATAAAGTTAAACTAAAGTACTCTGAGAACACGCTGACAACCCTGTCACCGGTCCCTACTTACTTGTTTCACCTGTCTTGTCACATAGCCACTGTGGTCGTCCGTCGGTTGTCAACGGCGTTTTAACTCGGCTGCAAAAAGCTCAGAGAGAGGTTCATTGTTGACACACGCAGCCCCTGCGCTGTGCTGTGCATTTCAGACCTCTTGAACCGCGAAACGTGTCAAGAAGCCCGGTGTATTGGAAGAGTTATATCAATAAATAGCACTGGCCCCTTCGCCCCGCCTTTGCTTTCCATGAAAGGCAACATGCATATCAGTGGACGCCGATAGCACCATAAGATATCTTACCTTGTGTTTCAAACCATAAAGGTGTATTGCCCTGAATAGAAGAACATGTCTTATAATCACAGTGAGGTACAACAGGGTTAAGGTCCGTAGGTCTTAATCTCTGAAGTGTTTATACTGTTACGACAAAAAGCTTTGTCAATAAGGCGCAATGTAAAATAACAACTAGATGGGTACTTCTGTTTTCGTTTCTAATGGCCATGTGCATTTATGTCATGATAAATACTTGGGAATTGTCTATAAAGGGTTATAACCGTAAATATATTGTTAAATATCTAGATTCACTCACATAAGGACATCTTTAGTAACATCCTTGGACATTGTTAGTTTGTTTGTGAAGAGAACATATACACGAAAAACGGAGAAGTAAGCTGAAGTATTTCGAGCGCTGCAAAAATTTGATAAAAGGATGAGTTCCCCACAGATAGGCTGCGCATGCCCGAAAAACGCAGCTCGAATGGAAATCCGGCCTTTTTTACTACTCTTTTCATATATGTCCCTGGTTGGTTATTTAACTTGCATATAAACTCGCTGCTGTGTCTGAAGGTTACTCTCTCGTTTTACTTCAGCCAAAAAACCACAGCTCACCTTTTCTGTTAAGATGTTTTCAGCCAACGCCGCTTCGCCAATACTTTGCTGATTAAACCAAATCTACTAAGAACACTCATATAGGAACTTTATCTCGTAACTACACAATTCCATTGTTTAATCATAGTTTTTATAGAATTTTTTTTTTTTTTTTTTGATGTGACGGCAATTGGTATTACGGAACTAATTATAAACTAAACGGGACATCGATGACAAAGATCACGTTTTTCAAGACTCGTGCGTTCCAGAAGACATCCCCCCTCCCCCTCCCCCACAGGAGTCGCACTTTTGTCATGAAACATGCACTTTCACGTCTTACTAAGTGCACCAGTCTCAACACCAACATGTGAAGTTATACACTGTATACAATGCTGCCCACTAAAGATGTTAATGCGAAGATTATGCTGTACCGATCCGTTTTAAATAAACAGGTGACTAGCAACGAACGTTAGGGAGGGCATGCGACAACCGGTATTAAGACCCTAGTTCAAGTTCGGCATAACCCAAATGATCCATAGTTTCAGACCTGCATGTGTAATGGTCTCCTGAAAGCCACTGAGAGTTAATATAACAGTAACGAATTAGGATTTGGTGGCGCACAATTTGTTTATTGGGTGTAATTCGCTTTGGACGGTATATGGACCTATACCTGTTACACCGGGCTCGCGTCCGTTTACCCACCCTCATCCCCTTCAAAGCTGGGGCTTTAACAATATTTGATAGTCAACATCAAATTCATACGACAATGTCAACTAATGAGCTTTAAATATATTAGCCTTTTCTTTTGTAACATATTTCTGAGGGAGGACTTTAGATGTTTCGAAGGCTCTTTCCTTCCGTTTATTCTTGACCTTACGGTAGTTGTCTAAGACGCTTAGCGACCAATCAATTCTTTTGGCGGAGAACGAGTGTATTACATGTAAAGATACTACCCTCTACCGGGGCCGCAGATTTATTATGTGCACTTGTTTTTACCACAGCATAGAAAAGTGTCATGAATTAATCAAAGGCATTTCTGTGAATATCTAGTGAAAAATCCATCTGAGGCCCTGGTAGAGGGTATAAAGATACAGGGTGAGAGATTGCAATCAACTAAATCGGCCGGGTGTCCTCGACCTCGTGTAGTGACTCACATATCAGCTAATTCAAAAGCATCATGAATAGCGTATAATGTGAAAAGACCGTCGGTGGCATTGTCGTCGTCGCCGTTGTCCAAATTTCTGGAGTAGGTCCTCGGGTATTAACTTTTGTGTCAGTGTGTTTAGCCGAAAATAGGGTTACCTAAACTAGACAATGCAGCGCGCTATCGGAAATTAAATTCTATTTATGTTCTACAGTTAGTGACGTACGAGCTAGAGGGAAAGGTGGGATTATGAAAACGACTGATAGATCGAACTGAAATCAATCGGAATTTCTTTGTGATAATTTACATGGGTATGTTATTCAAGTCGTTGACATTATATGAATTTATTTGTTTGGTTATTAGCTGGATTAATTCTACAAGGCATATTGGTGCTCCTTTTGTTCATGGAACCAAACGAAAAAAATATTAACACATTTGTCCACAACAAAGCACTCGGTTGCGTACCCTGTGTAGCTAATAACTTCTCCTATAGTTATTCATCTGTATGTTTAGCATATTAAGAGATTATTTTTCTTAAATGACTTAATTAATTCTAAAATTATGCCCCAATTATAATTATTCTAAATTTACCCCGCATCATTAAAAAATCTGAATATTTCCCTTTACTATCGCCATTAGGGGCCTACTACACCGAAAATATTGTCTCAAAAATTGGTCCTATGAATTTAACTTCAATTGCAGTTGACCAAGATTTTGCTCTTAAAGTTTGGGGAAAAAATATTCATTTTATAACATAGTATTAAAAATCAATTAAAATGTTTCACACAAATATAAATGAGAAGGCGTGAATTAGGAGACGGATATTGTTTTGCAAGCGCGCTGGAAAAGTTGGTTACTAAATATGAAAGGAATCAGAGATCTAGACGAACACAGAATTAACCAGCTTGTCATAAAATGCAACAACCTGTAGGCCAACAAGCGTATTGTGTTAGTTGCGAAACACCTATCTTGGGAGCTATGGTCCAGCTATCGCAATTAGCATTAACGCCATATTGGCATAGACATAATTTAAGTAAAATAGTTTCTGTGTGTTATAGATAGCCCTTAAAAAAAGAACCAAGCGTACAGATACCACCATAAAACACAACGGCTAATTAGAAAGTAAAATCTAGCGTTGTAGAAATTTAGCTATACAGCGGGACATTCTTCGACAAAGCTCCATTGTTAATCCGCCTACCATGCAATGCCTAAGCAAACAAATTATTGATGTTGCCACAACAATAGGCGATGTCACATAGAGCAATGCACATAGACCTGTGCACGCCCGGCCAAACTGGAGAGATAACCGAATGCAATGTAGTCGCGTTAGGAGTCATGAGATGTGTTGTCGCGGCGTAAATTAGGCCCGTTTTTGACTTGGTTACGGCTAGAGACGACCTGTAATGATGGCGGACACAACATAAAGACAGGTATGTGTTGATGAAGATAGGATACCCGGTACATTAATTGCCAGGGCAAACACACTCAATACTTTTTCGAGTCACATTATCCATGCTGTTGGTACAATTTAAAGTGTCGAGACGCCATTCTCTCTCTCTCTCTCTTTCTCTCTTCACGTGTGTTCGTGCGGGTTTATGTGTGCATGCAGTAAGGGTTTTAATTGATGTCAAAGAGAGGGTTAACATGTGCCTATAGAAACACGTAGGCTATATACTATAACAATATTGTTATTATGAATATGATGGGCTGTTGCAGTCCCCGGAGAGAAAGAGAGAGAGAGAGAGAGAGAGAGAGAGAGAGAGAGAATAGTGTCTCGACACCTCAATTTGTACCTCATGGAATATGTGGTTTTTGTCTTTTCTTTTGTACTGTACATGCTCTATATAAAGCAATCTTGGACTCATGTACCGGTATAGAATACTGGTAGGCCCAAGAAGAAACTGTGTACCTTTTTGGTCGTAACGAATTTTGCTTCCTACATATTTTATCTAAAAATTCAAACTATCTTAGTATTTAGTACTTCCCCTGTCTCTTGTAATCCCCTTTATAGTATATTCTTCCAGCTACAGCGCCATCTACTGGTGTATACCCTTATCTATTTTTTCTCTCATCCATTCGTCTAACCATGCCACCATCCCTATAACCAAGACGGTATAATTGATTTTTCTTTGCTATAATCGAGCTTTTCGCTCAATCATTCACACTGTCCACAGCATTTCTCGAAATTTGATATATCGTTATTATCGACCTTGTTACACAATTACATAACACACTTGTATCTTGAAATATTCAGGAGCGGAGAAAGAGAACGCCGCCTAGGCACCATGGTGCTAAAGCGCAGCAAGAAGGGCCTCAACACGGGGTGCTCTTTCAACGTCAACTTCCCCTTTGCTCGGGCCTTGGCGCACAGTCAGTACTGGGGCGTCCCCGACCAGGAGACGTCGGAAAATCTGCCATGTCAACGGACACCAAACACATTTCACCGTTCCATAGTTGGATACACGAGCAAATCAGCTGAGGCTTGGAGGACAGCTCAGGATATGATAAGCGAGCTTCCCGACGTTTTGGGAGACGATATAGAAATAGAGTTGAACAAAGATGAAAATGTTCCGCTGTCTTTGAGCAAGAGAAAAAGCTGGAAGCTAATTGAAAGTGTTAGAGACAACATCCACATACTAGGAATATATTCCAATTACGAGGTGACCGTAGAGGAACGCAAAAGAACCGGCAATCGAGTCAAAACAGAATGCACTAGTTCTCATGACGTGAATTGGGAAAGTTTCTTTGACAGTCCTTCCGAGGAAAATGCAAAGACAGCAGGCAAGCGTGACAAACGAAAACCTGTATCTACAAAAGAAATGAGAAAGGATGCAAGGAGAAAGGAGGCAATGCAAAAAAGATCAATCAGGGATGCACAAAGAAAAGAAAGCAATCACAAACAGGGAAAAAGGTAAACGGAAATATCCGTAGATTTTAAATGTTTAATTGCCTATGTATTCTCACAGTTTTAAAAAATAATGGTTATATATCATAAATGAATATAATACGTAACCATTAATTTTTCTTAATTCCTTGTTTTTTTTCATATTGAGTTCCTTAAGGGTTTGTGAATATTGGCTAGTTATTATACATTTATAATTCATTCATTCAGAAAATTTGCGTGTACATTTGTACAGTTTACCAATATGCGATTTCTCAGCTAATTCTATAGTTGGCCCATCGGAATAAATTGCCATCTGTAGCTACATGTACAGTGTGTACGTGAAGTACGTTATCTTTCCTTTTTTTTCAGTATTATCACAAATACAAAGCACGAGACGAAGGCGGTCAACCCCTTACAGTTGAGGTACGAAGTCTATTACCCAGAAACTGTTTGCGCGAAAACCATGTCTAAAGGCAAGAGTATAAAGACAGGTAACAACTTGCACTGAACTCTGTTTCCGACTGGCTGGGTAATTTCTGAAAATTATGTATCCTCGGCAAGACAGAACCAAGGTTAAAAGGCTTCAGATGAGATACACATGTTCTTGTCGGCTTTCAGTTCCCTAAATCTTTCCCATGCCAGGCAATCGAAGCGTAAACCCTTGTTCTAACTCTGTACCGCCCCTCCCTCCGTGTAAAATTTGGAACCCTCCAATTGAAAAAACCACGTTGATATTGTATGATTGATGCGAAATAAACGCATTCTTATATCATTTGTTCTTAAGTTTATATTTTTCTGCTTATTTGTTATATAATAATTCCATGCGATTTAAGTTGTTATGCTTTTTAGTAACAGTGCGTTATTTCCTCTGTGAGAATGGTATGTAACAAATCTTTATAGTATCTTCGTGTTTTCATGTTTTTTCTACAAATTACAGAAGTCAAACAGAACTGAAAGAATGCCTTTTAACAATCACCTGTTATTTCATTGCAGACTACTACAAAGACAAGGAAAAAAGCAAGGGATGTCGTAACAACTCCAAAATGTCACTTCGGACTTACTGCCGTAAATGGATGCACTTCAACGGAGATGATTGGGCAGAAGAATACGACTGCGATTGGTCAGATGAAGAAGTTGCCATGGACACCAGCGATATGGGCAAGGAACTATTGGACACGCGTTTGGCCAAAGAAAAACAGGATAAAACGGCGTTAACAAAATTGCAAAAGGTTAGACATAGTGAGACAGTGGACAGCAATACAAAACCTAAAGATATACCAAAGATACAAACTAGTCAAAACAACAAAATACTCAGTAATATTTCAGTTGGTGACCAGTCAACTGATAAGATGGAGGACAATACAACATTGTGCAATGGTGGGAAGGGCAGTAAAAAATGCTCGGCAGACGATA